AGGCGAGCGAGCTGCTGAACTTCTATAAACAAGGGAAATTTCGTCATTTACTAGCCTTACAATACTACGCCGATCTTAATTACTACACGGTGAGGGGGCTCACACAGCGAACTGAGCTCAAATTGTACACAGTACAATTAACCCGCCTAACTCGAAACAAAAGGCCCAGCTACTAACGACTCTTGTGCCACTCCTGCGCCCTACGCGATGCTGGTGCTGCGCGCTGTGGAGATCGTATATCGCCACGCAAACACTCGGCGCACGGCTATCTTTGACCTAGCGTGCCTTTTGTTTCAAGCTTAGGCGCGTTATATACATTCGGTTGCTGGGCAAACAGCATTGGAATCGCAGGCCTGTCGGACGCTTTATAGTCCTGCTATCTCTGCGGATTGCGGGTTATACGATGAAACGACTTGCATTGATGCCTAGGCGAATGTACTGTGTAGGATTCAGCTCAAGTTGTGAGGCTTCGCCGTAGTAATAATCGTAAGTATGTCTAAGGCTACCTAAATGAGAATTTCCTTCGTTTATTGAAGTTCACACTCCTCTTTTTCATATTATTCTACTTCTGATAAACTACTATATATAATATATATATATATACCTATATATATATACTGATTAAACTATATATATATATATATATATATATATATACAATAATATATATATATATAATTTTTAATTATAGTCATATGTAAATGTAAAAGCAATGTTCTTTTGATCATATTTATTCGCATCTGTAATCTTGTCTCGCATCTATATATTCGCATCTATAATCTGCAATTCCTAATGAAGCGTGGTTTGCATACGTAGTAGTCAGTAATTTTTCCTCATTGAATTTTCCCATCTGCCAGACAAGTAAGACTACAAGTTGCCTGTTGCGAGCAGAAGGCCTTTGGAGCCATGCAGGAGAAGGAAGAGCAGCGGGAAGACAACAGAAGGAGCAGGGAGCAAAGCTGCTGAAGAGCAGCGATCATGCAGGAGCAGCTGTCACGCCATCGCCAGGGATGAGGAGCAGAAAAGCCGCAAGGAGCCAGGTCGAGCAGAGGCCTGCCTGATTCACACGGACATGCAGAGACGAGAGGCAGGGCAGTACCGTCAGCTAATAGGTTACGAAAGCTTGCGTAATATTGAAAAAAAACTGAACTTGTGTACTAAGTTCAAACATCACGTGATATGTGGGCTAGGGAAATCGTCTGAATGCTCCCGCAGTCATCTCATGCAAACTGCTGCTTTGAAACGTCAGGCTAGGCAGCAGTGAGAGCGCAGTGGTCGTGATTCTGCAACAATTATTCACACCCATCCCTCACACTGCATAGGTTCTAACCTGAAACTCAAGAACACTCTTCAGTTGACAACTACCTACATGCGGATGTTAACGATGAGTTTCACATAGTACGTTGACGGTCGCTCATTCCACGATGCCACGGGTCGACTTCCGACTCCTGGAATCTTCCGCCCACACGCTCGCCCTTAAGCATCGTTAACGGGAGACGAGTGTGTTGTCATTCGAATGAGGGATAGCGAACATACCTCGCCACGCAGCTGCGTTACCCGAGCAGCGCGCGTCATGCTAGAGCGAACAGCGACAAACAGCCGCAGCATTTGCAGGCAGGCAGCCAGCAGCGGCTGCGCCACAACCAGCAGGCCGCAGATCGACTTTCCAGCTGCAAGCCGCAACTCGCTTCAGGTACGTATCCGTTACTGGTGCTTCAGGCTTCGCCTTTCACCCGGTGCCGATCGGCCCAAGCCCTGTACAACAGCCCCATCTCGGTATCCATGGCCGGCTTTTTTTCCCCCCAGTCTCCCAAATTTTCCGAGATTCTGAGCATCGAAAACGAAAATCAGCCCCCATCTAGAAGGAAAATCAGTCCCCATCCGAGTCTCAAATGTGATCATGCTCACCAAACAACAAATTCGAATCATGCTAATACTACCATAATATAATTCTGTTATACATGTTTGATATCGGTTTAAGAGCTATTTCAAGAGCTCACGCGTTATGCTGTAATGTCTCGTAGCGGCCTGAAAATAAATATTTCTCTACTTACCTACTTAGCTAACTTACTTTACTTACTTACTTACTTACTTACTTACTTACTTACTTACTTAGCGTACTTACTTACTTAACTACTTACATACTTACTATACTTACTTACACTTACTTACTTACTTTACTTACGTAGCCTAACTTACTTACTTACATACTTACTTACTTACCTTACTACTACTTACCCTACTTACTTACTGACTGACCTACTTAACGTATCTTACATTACTTACTTACTTAACTTACATTACTTACTTAACCTTACTTACATACTTACTACTTACCTTACTTACCTTACCCTCACTTAACCTAACTTACTGACTTACTTGTTACTTACTTACTTACTTACATACTTACTTACCCTACATTACTTACTTACTTACTTACTTACTACTTTACCTACCCCTACTTACTTACTTACTTACTTACCCTACTTACTTACGTACTTACATAGCTTTACTTACTAACACTACTTGGCTTACTTACTTACTACTTACTTACTTACTTACTTACTTACCTACCTTACTTAGCTGAGCCTTACATACTTACTACCTTACCATACTTACTTACCTTACTTACCTACTTACTTACTTACCTTACCTACTTACTACTTACTTACTTAACTACCTTACTTACTTACTTACTACAAACTTACTTACCCTAACTACTTACTAACCTTACCTACTTACTTACTTACCTACCTACCGTACTTATCTTACTTAACCTTACTTACTTACCACCTTACAATACTTACTACTAACTTACCATACTTACTTACCTTACCTCCTACTTACTTACTTACTTAACTACTTACTTACCAAGGTTACTAAACATACTTGGCTTACTTACTTACTACTTACTTTACTTACTTACCTTAACTTACCTGACTTACTTAACTTTACTTACATACTCTACTTACTTACCATACTTACTTACCTTACCTTACCTACTTACGCTTACTTACTATACTTACTAACTTACCTTACTTACTTACTTAATACCTTACCATTACTTCACTTACTAACTTACTTACTTACTTACTTACTAACTTACCTACTTACCTTACCTTACCCTACCTACTTACTTACTTACTTACTTACTGACTTACTTACCATACTAACTTTACTAACTTACCTACTTACTTACTTACCTACCTACTACTTACTTACTTAACTACTTACTCTTACATACTTACTAAACATACTTGTCTTACTTACTACTTACTTTACTTACTTCACTTACACTTACTTTACTTTACTTACTTACTTCACATACCTTACTATACTTACTTACTTACTACTTCCGTATACTTACTTACTTACTTACCGTTACCTACATTACTATACATACTTCACTTCTTTACTTACCTATTACCTACTTAACCTACTTACTTACCTACGTGCTACCGTTGCTTACGTACTTTACTTACTACTTACTACACTACTTACTTACCCTACTTACTCTACCTTACTTTACTTACTTACTTACTCTACTTACCTCAACCTACATTACTTAACCTTACTTACCTTACCTACTATACATTACCTTTACTTAGCAGTACTTACATACTTACTAAACATTACTTGCCTTACCTTACTTACTATACTTACTTACTTACCTTACTTACTTACTTACTTACTTACATACCATTACTTACTTACATACTTACTTACTTACTTACCTACTTACTTACTTACTTACTTACCGTACTTACTTACTTACTTACCTTAACTTACTTACTTACTTACTTACATAACTTACTTACTACTTACTTACCTAACTTTACCTACCTTACTTTAGCCTTACCCTACCTACTTATTACTTACTTAACTTACTTACTTACTTACATTCACTTACTTACTAACTTACCCTACTTACCTTACTTACCTCACCTACTTACCTACTTACTTAAAACTACTTAGCTTAACATTACTACTAAACATTACTTGCCTTACTTAGCTTACTTACTTCCCTAATTATCTACTTCTGATATATATTAAACACTATATACAGGGATGGGAATGACAATTTGTGTTTTCAGCTGAAAATAGCCGGGGTCCAGAGGAGAGGGGGGAGGGTAGCGGGGGGGGAGGCGGTCAGGTCCAGGGCGAAGCCTGGTCAGGGTGTTCAGGAAGGTTTTGTATTTTCACAACTTACAAGGCATAAAATTGCATTAGGAGGCACATACAGAACAGAATTGTTACAGAGCACATTACAGTACACTGCAGGGAGTATATCTTGCACTGTCATTATCATAACACCAGAATTAATAATCAATACAAAAATTTACTTACATTATGCAAACAAAATTATTTTAATGTACACTTCCACACTGTCCCAAAGGCTAACCTTTATATAATATAAGATGTTCATTGTCCAGGCAGTTTCAAATTTGTTTCTGGTCACTACAGTAGATATTTTATCATATTGAACAACTTTAGCTTATCCTGCTGCCAAGGCAAGTCTGTGAGCCCCACAGTGATCAGACATCAGGAAAGGAAACGCTTTATTTGCTACGCCAAAGGTTGCCCAAAAATCCTTCCTTGTGCGCACGATATAATATTCCTAACACCCTAGGAGCTAGCGCGCGATCGCGCGACATTAATTTATTGGCTTACATTAATCACCGAAAAAGGCAGCTCACGACACCACGTTTTATCGTTATGTATATATGTATTATGAACAGAACTTCGTTGGCGAGAAGTGAAACAGTTCGTACCTACGTTTTCTACCACGTGAAACAGTCGCAGAGCCTGGGCCGGCTACTTCATAAAACGAGCCTCAAGGCGACGCGTGACGCGGCGGCTTTTGATGTACACGATCGATCAATCGCGTACTATATACAACCTGCGTAGCATGCGCGGCATACATACACACACACTTGCAGCGTCAAATAAACGCACACACTGGCCAACGTCTGACAATCTCAAACAGTGAACTAAGACGTGTCTATATTGTAAAGCGAACTATATTACAATGTTATTAAATAAAGGTACTGTTGGACTGTAAAATGAAAATTTGTACATTCTAACACCCCCTAAAATTTTCTCTCAACGGATTTAGACGTTTCACAAAATCGACCCTGGGACTGTGAAATCCGCGGATTTCCGCAGATCCGCGGATTTCCGCAGATCCGCGGATTTCCGCAGATCCGCGGAATATTCTCATCCCTGACTATACATATTTCATCACTAAAATTGTAGTTTACCTTTGTCGTTCCACAGCCTCTAGCTTCGCTGCTTGCTCGGCCTTCTTCTGCATGGCATCTGCCTCTGCCATTAGCTTCATCTCTTCCTGTCTGCAGCATGATAGAAATACACATACTCAGGGTGTGAAATTAACGTGAGTCCGAGGTCAAATACTCCCTGATTTAGTGTCTGACTCCCTGATTTGACATATTATGCAGGAGTCTGTGTGACTCACTGAAAATTCTGCTATACTAACTAGTTCGTTCCAGAGCACGGCCTCGCGGAATTATTTTTCAGCAAATGTCCAAAGAAAATTTGGCAGACGTGCAACCACATGAATTTTAAAAAAGCACATGTGTTATTGTTAATATCTTTAATTTTGATGCTCAGACTGCAAACTCCCTGATTTTGCTGCGGACTCCCTCTTTTTGAGGGCAGGGAGTCCGACTCCCGTGTTCAAAAGTTAATTTCTACTCCTGCACACTGTAATATGATGGGTAATACAGCACTCTGTAATTGGTGCAGAGCATATTGTATGCAATAAAAAAACAACTAATACTGTCTAATGAAAATCAATGTTGCACACTGAGCACTGCTGCCACCTAGCAGAAAAACTGTTCTCGCCACTGCAGGTTGCAACGATGCGTGGAATGTCTTAATTTTCTGCTGTGTTTACTTTTGACAATCTTAACACAGGAACACTTTGTTTTCAGAGCTTGATGTATATGACATGCAAAATTGGGTCCAATTAGCAACTGAAAAACGAATTGTCCAATTCCTTGACGTCTTCTGAAACTCCTGGGAGAACCCCAATAATTTATCATATATATTATAATATTATCACACACCCCTCGCACTGATACTTTTAATACGTATCTACTCACCTCTGTTTTTCTAACACAGCCATCATCTGCTCTTCTTCATTCTTCACTTTGTCGATGGCTTCTTGTGTCTGCTTCCTACTCTGCGTGTCCTTTGTCTCTGTTTCCTGTTTCATCCCCATCTCTACAGGTTGCTGGCCCTGTGAAGCCTCTGGTACCTCACGGCCATCGTGACCTGTTAACAACGATCCTCAACTATTTCAATAGTTCCAAATACTGTACTAACAACACTGGTAGGCTAATGTTCTATGCACATGTATATATGTGTGTGTACTATGTTTTTTTTCTCCACTTGACAGGAACAGTATATCTATCTAAAAAGTTAAAAACGTCAATACTGAAAGGACAAATTCCTTTTTACCTTAACAATAATATGAAATAAAAGTGACAATATTGAATAGCTATCGTTCAGATTTGCATATAAGATTGTTGCTTCTGATTTTCAGTGTAATTCGGGCCTGGTGAGAATACTAATTCGCTGTAATTACTATAGATATTATATTTAATATATATCTCACCTGGCACTGTTTGTAGTTCCGGTTGCTTCTGCGATGATTGCATAAATTCCTCTTGTTGCTGAAAAGCCCTCTCTGTTTCACGATGTTCTTCTTGCTTTGGCTCAGCTTCTTCTTGTTCGTGTATCACTCTTTCCTGTTTTATTCTTAGACGTTCTTCTTCTTCCTTTTTAGCCTCTAGCTGTGCCAGGATGAGCCTCTCTTCTTCCATCCGTTTACCCTCTTCCTCTTGCCTTCTAATATCTTCTTGTTCTCGAATAGTTTCTTCTTGCTCAATTTTAATACGTTCTTCCTCTTGCTTTCTGGCTGCTTCTTGTTGTTCGTGATATTTTCTTTCTTGTTCCATTCTAACACTTTCTTCCTCTTGCTTTCTGGCTGCTTCTTGTTGTTCGTGATATTTTCTTTCTTGTTCCATTCTAACACTTTCTTCCTCTTGCTTTCTGGCTGCTTCTTGTTGTTCGTGATATTTTCTTTCTTGTTCCATTCTAATACGTTCTTCCTCTTGCTTTCTGGCTGCTTCTTGTTGTTCGCGATGTTTTCTTTCTTGTTCCATTCTAATACGTTCTTCCGCTTGCTTTCTGGCTGCTTCTTGTTGTTCCCGAACCATTCTTTCTTGTTCCATTCTAATATGCTCTTCCTCTTGCTTTCTGGCTGCTTCTTGTTGTTCGCGATATTTTCTTTCTTGTTCCATTCTAATACGTTCTTCCGCTTGCTTTCTGGCTGCTTCTTGTTGTTCCCGAACCATTCTTTCTTGTTCCATTCTAATATGCTCTTCCTCTTGCTTTCTGGCTGCTTCTTGTTGTTC